TGGCCAGTCAGACTGCCTTTTTTGTTTTGGGTTTATCCTGCTGATCTTTCTTGGAAGATGTATCTTCTATTGCTCTAGCTGTTCCAGGCTGGTCTGCTTGTCCTTTCTAGTGGGAATGTCCCACCTCAGAAGGTTCTGGATGGGGCTCAGGATTCCACCTAAGGTCCTATAGTCTGCAAAGGCTCCTCAAGAGGCCTATTTCAATGGGCAAGTTCTGGAACCTCTTTTAGGTATTCCAATCAGTTATAGGCTGAAGACGGGCTTACAAGCTTTCTGTAATCATGTTTCCCGACATTCCTTTTTATCCCACTCAAGTGTCTGTTTTACAATAATAGGCAGGGAAACCGATATTCATATGACAGTCAAGCATCTTAGTATCATCACCCCGCTTCACACTATGCCTCGAGCCCTGTTGTTCCAAGGTTGAACATACTTCACTATTTACCTCTGTCCCATTTATCCCGTGCAAACCTGTCTCGGTGTTCCCTTATCTACCTTGTTCTTCCACCCCTTCCCCTTCGTGTGTATTGCCCTCCCCAGCACCTGAACTATGATGTGTCTGCCCTTACCCTGTGCTCTACCGTCGCCTCCCTCCACCTCCCCAACCTTCCCCGTCCCACCCCCACTGGTAACCAACAAAGATTTTAATTTCCCCCTTTTAGTATGGTTATCTTTTCTTAAGCCTTTACAATAATGTTCTTATGCAGTACATTGTTCTTTTTTACTTAATGAAGACTTACAAACCATCCAAGTTGGAGTCCCTAATGAAGAATACTTCAAAGAAAACCAAGAAGGAAGACCACGTGCGCCTAAGGGCCCTGAATGGTCTTCTTTACAAAGCGCTGACGAATTTGCTGGGCACCTGTGAAGTGAGCCAGGAGGTCTGTGAGCTGAGTGTGGAGTTGTCCAAGGTAACCTGAGGGGCTGAAGCCCATGTGAGCTCTTCTTGGGACGGAAGGGCCAGCACTCAGCACACAGTTTACACAGCCGCCATGGTCTTCTCAAGGCCTTTAGCTTTAGGTGCAGCCCAGAGAGGCAGTCTGGTTACTTAAGTGCTAAAGGCAGACACAGTAGGTTTGTCTGTCTATATCAAGTTCATGGACGACATTCAGTGGTGGGCCAGGCTTTTTTGTGAGCATCTTGGGGCTGACGGTTCAGAACCAAGTGCTCTGGGACTTGGAACTGGGCTTACTCAGGAGTCTGGAAGGGTCCCAAGAGGGCAGACGAGATCCTAATGTCCATGGCAGTATGGCTGCAGAGTGTCAGGCAGACCTGAAGTTGAGGGGCTCCTCTGCCCCCTGGTAACTGTGGGAATACCTGTGTCAACAAAACAGTCACTCACAGCTGGGGTGGGTGGGACTCAGGTGTCTCTGGCTTCAGACTTCTCAGCCTGCCGTGTGTATTGGAGGACGTCTCTCTCTGCTGCACAGAATGAGCGCACCAGAGCCATCCTGCAGAAGAGCACTGCTCGGATGAGGTAAGAGCACTCGCTTCCTGAATGCATGGGGTGGGGGTCGGGGGGGGGGGGGGTCACAAAGGTTGTGGTCAGTGCCATTTTCTCACACAATTCCTGATGACCTTTTATATTTGCTTTTTGATTGGCCCCTTGAATTTCCAGCTGTGTTTCACTTTGAGGTGGATGTCCTTAATTTCTCTTTAATTTTGCTTTTAGGGAAACTTTGGAAGCTTTTTTTGAATTTCAGAGTATAATGTACGTTTTCCTAGAAGTCATAATCTGGATCATAATCTAAGGTGTTGGTCCTGGACCCCTAGGCTCCCCCAAGATCCTCGTGAGGCTTTGCTAGGTTACAGCTGCATTCAGGCCAGCACTAAGCCGTTTTTCATGTTGCCGACATTTACACTGTGGAGCCACCTGGGGCCGCTGGCTCACAAAGCCTTTGCTGGGCTAGCATTTCGTCTTGAAACCATGTTGATGTGTGTGCCATCCGTCAGTTATGACTCACAGCAACCCTGTATAAAGTTTCTGAGGAGCGGCTGGTGGGTTTGAACCACCGACCTTGGGGTTAGTAGTCCATTGCTTATCCTGCAGGAACACACCAAGACCCCTTTTGGAACAACAGGCCCTGCAAACTTGGTTCTTGATGTAACTGATTTTGGCACTGCCTCCTGACTCCCCTGGTTTGTGCATCATCTGACTGAGTCTGTCCTGTCTCCTCAGACACCTTCTGATGTCCCAGCAGACACTCCGGAATGTACCGCCCATCGTGTTTGTTCAGGACAGAGAGGATGCAGCTGTAGCCGAGGTGTGGCTTTCAGATCAATAACTTTCAATAATCTAAACTCATATGAGTAAAACCTAAAACTTTCATTAATTTCTAAATACTCAAAAAATATGTGCACAGTTAAAAAACCCATTTGTTGTGGTGGTGGTTAAATGCCATTGAGTCGGTTCCAACCCATAGCGACCATGTGTAGGGTTTCTGAGGAGCCAGTTGGTGAGTTTCAGCCACCAACCTTGTCTTCAAATTGACCTTGCAGTCGAGTGCTTATCTTACAGCACCACACCAGGACTCCATAAACCCATTGTTGTTGTTGTTATTGTTAAGTACTATCAAGTTGCTTCCAACTCATAGTGGCCCCATCTGGTGTTTCCAAGGAGTACCTGGTGGGTTTGAACTGCCCACCTTGTGGTTCACCATCCAACGCAGACCCTACAGCACCACGCCAGGAGGGAACCCACTTAGGAGGGAACAAATGGATAGTGAAGGTCTATTGTGCACCCTGCTCTGATCCCCAGTCCTGTTCTCTGGTGTTCCGTTTTGTGCGTCTCCTGTAACTCTAACAAGTCAACGTAGTCTCTCTTGGATTTCCAGGTGAGGTGGTGAGGTCTCTCCTTCATGCCTCCACCTTCCTCACCTGCCTTGGGCTCTGAGCACTGTGCTGCTGCTTTACAAGGTTGGGACTTCTAAGATCTTTGGCTCCACAGTTATACTGGTTTTTATCATTTTTTTCCTTCATTGCAGAATTAAAAGCCTATAAATACGTATTGTTTTGATCTGGGTGGTAGTTATCAGCGAGACCTTCAGTGAGGTGGACTGACGATAGCTGCAACAGTGGGCTCAGACATGACACAACACACAACACGCACAACACACAACACACACAAGAATGGGCTCAGACACGACACAACACACAACACGCACAACACACAACACACAGCACGCACAACACATACATCACACACACAACAGTGGGCTCAGACACGACACAACACATACACAGACACAACACACAACACACACAGCAATGGGCTCAGACACGACACAACACATCACAGACACAACACACACAAGAATGGGCTTAGACACGACACAACACACAACACACACAACACATACATCACACACACAACAGTGGGCTCAGACACGACACAACACATACACAGACACAACACACAACATGCACAACACACACAACAGTGGGCTCAGAAACGACAGCAGTTGTGAGGACAGCACTTTCCTTCTGTTGAGCCGAGTCCACAGCACCTGGAGAGTGGGCAGTGACGGCTCAGGGGTGGAAGCCTCGCCTCCTATGAGGGAGCGGCCATCGGCTGAAGCTGAACAGGGTTTACTGTAGCTTCCAGACAGGCTAGACCGAGAAGCAGGGCTGGTGACCACTTCTGAAAACCGGCCATTGAGAACTGTACCTCACAGTGGCTCAGCCCTGTTGTCCATGAGGCCACCGTGAGTCAGAATTGCCTCTTACAAAATACTTTAAAATAAAAGTTGGCTAAAAACCAGTAAATAGATTTATAATATTACTATTACGTACAACGATTATGTTGGTGTTTGGACTAGGTGATATTTGGCTCCACAGAGATAAAGGACCTAGTATTTATGTTGGAGAATTTGGTGTCTAGATAACAGTCTGCCCAACTTCTGCTCAGAGGAGGCAATCAGAAGGGCCCACCGTTTCCTATTCTGCAAGACTTCCCCATGTGTGCCCCAAAATTTGGCCGTTGATTGGAGACCAAGGTTAAAAAAATAAATAAAGTCAGGTCCCTGTGACTGGCCTCTGTCTGGCTGTCCTGGAATTTCTGTCTCACCCATTAAAAGAAAGGAGTCTTGACCAGAGAAGGGGAAATCTTTAATCTTGGTATATGACCCTTAGAGGTCAGGGTTGTTCTTTAGTTATCTTGTACATCGTGGTGCGCTGTTGCATGCTAGTATGGCTTTTAAGTGAGTACCTGGGAGCGGTAATTGTATGTTTAACTTTAAAGAACCATTGGCTTTACCATTTTAAATGTCTACCAGTAAGTGAGTTCTTGCTGCACCATTTGGTCCATAACACTTGGTATTGCTTTCAATTTAAGCCATTCTTGTGGTTTAAATGTGCATTTCCCATATGACTAGTGAAACCTTTTATGGCCCATTGATTAGCCCTTTTTTGTGAATCGTCTGTTCAAATCTTTGGCCTGCTTATTAGGTTTTATTAGATGTGCCTACTTAAGGACAGCAGGTCGACACTACCAGCCGCTCCACGGGAGAAAGATGAGGTGTTCTGCTCCCATAAAGATTTACAGCCTCGGAAACCCTGTGCAGGGTCGCTATGGGTCAGAACTGACTCGATGGCACTTAACAACAACAACAACTTAACGTTGGGTTGTAAAGATGATTTTATGTCTCAGATACTGGTTAGCTGTATTTTCATCACATTGTCAGTTTTGGACAAGTGGAATTTATCCGTGTTTGGTAATGGTGTCACTTCAGTCTGTTTCAGTTGGCTGGTTTTTCTCCTAGTTGTGCTTTTCATGTGTGTACTTTTCTGTTGGAATGCTGGACTCTATCAGTTTACATTGTGAAGGCTTTCTTTTGTGGTTTTTCCTTAGAGAGTTGAGCTTTGTTTTGGTAGGCCGCAGTAGGATCCTTTGGCGCCTCGTTTTGAAGTTTTGTTAGCGTGCATCTAGAATAGTCTTTGTTACAGGCTGGGTTAGCTCTCCTACTCCATTGTACCCACTTGGGCTGCTTAGAACTAGAATGTGTCTCATCTTGTTTGACTCTATTCATTGTTCTGCCAACTTCTTCCCAGTGCCTTTGCTTGGTCTTGTGGGACTCACCCCCAACACTCACGGGTTATTATTCCGCCAAAGACCCAGCCAGCAAATGCTATTTAACTCCATTAACATTCTGCTTTCTTCATAAATTGAGCTACTTTTTCAGGTTTTAAGTGCAGCTTTTTATACAGTTTCAATTTATCATCAGAGAAAATGTGATGTGCTCAAATAACAGGAACCTGTTAGAAGGTACAGGCTGGTGAGCTGGTCCTCGTATCTGGAATGGGTCCGTCGTCTTGTTGTTAGGTGCCATTGAGTTCATGCTGACTCATAGCAACCCTGTGCCCAACAGAACAAGATGCTGCCTAGTCCTGTACCATCCTCACCCGTTAGGCTGGAGCTTGTGACGACTGCCACCATACCAGTCCATATTGCTGGGGTCTTCCTCTTTTTCACTGACCTTTACGTCCTCCTCCAAGGAACTGCCCCTCTCAGTAATATGCCCAAAGTATGAGAGGAGCAGCCTGGTGATTAAGGACATCTGTGTCTGGCTCCTATTTGCAAGAGAATGGCTTCCGTTTCTCACTGGCGAGAGTGCTGCTGGCTCTTGGCTTCATATATATGCTCCTAATTATGTTCAGGAATTTCCCTTCGACTCCTCTTTTGGTTAGTGTTTTTCAAATGCTTTTTCTGTATCAATTCATAGGATCATGTGATTTTTTTCTTTGTTTCATTATGTGGTGGATTACACCGATTATCTAGCATTGAACCACCTCTGCATACCTGGTATGAATTCCACGTGTTTTTGGTTAGTTTGATTTTGGATAGATTGTTGGAGTCTATTGACTAGCATTCTGTTAAGAATTTTTTTGCATCTATGTTCATGAGGAATATTGACCTATAATTGTTTTTAGTGATGTCTTTGCCTGGTTTTGGTGTCAGAGTTATGTTTGCTTCATAAAGTGAATTCAGGAGCTGTCCCTTCTTGTCTGTATTCTGAAACAGTTTGAGTAGAACTGTTGGTGTCAGCTCTTCTCGGAATGCTAGAAGTCACCAGTAAAGCCATCTGGGCCATGAATTGTTTTAGCTGGGGGTTTTTAATGACTTAATCCATTTAGTCACTTGTTACAGGCCACTCAATTTTTCTACTTTGGTTTTAGTTTAAGTTGTTGTTGTTAAAAGTGTTGTCGAGTCAGTTCCAACTCATAGCGACCCTATGTAGGGTTTCCGAGGAGCAGCTGGTAGGTTTAAACTGCCGACCTTGTGGTTCGCAGTCCAGTGCTTAACGTACAGCGCCACGCCAGGAGTCCACTGCGACTGTGGAATTGTCTAGTCTTTCTTCAGTTCTATTAGGGTTTGATTTATATATTTTGAGTCTGTTTCATTGGGAGCATAGGTATTTATTAGGGATATGCCCTCTTGTTCAATTGACTCCTTAATCATGATTTAATGTCTTTTATCTCTTATGCTGGTTTTTGCCTTAAAGTGCATTTTATCAGAGATTAAAATTGTCACACCTGCTCTTCTTCGATTACCAATAGATTGATATTTTTTTCCCATCCTTTGATTTTTAGTCTATTTCTGTTTTTGTGTGTAAAATGTGTCTCTCGTAGACAGCATATTGAAGGATCCTACTTTCTTAATCCATTCTTCTACTCTCTGTCTCTTGACTGGTGCGTTCTGTCCATTTACATTCAATGGGCACAAACATACCAGTGATTGTAAGATTGGCTCAGGACCGGGCAGTGTTTTGTTCTGTTGTGCATAGGGTTGCTATGAGTCGGTACTGATTTGATGACACCTAACAATAACAACATGAACTGATGTGGCATTGTAGGACCAGCACTGAACTGCAAACCACAAGGTCGACAGTTCAAACCCACCAGCTGCTCTTTGGAAACCTTGTGCAGTGTTGCTATGAGTTGGAACTGACTTGATGACACTTAACAAAAATGAACTGATTGCTGTCAGTTTTCTGTGGGTTCTGGTGTTTTGGGGTGATGCTGATTTCTTTGCTCCACATACATTTCTGTGCTTAGTTCATTTGATTTGTAGATTTTCTTCATTTCTGTTGTGTTAATGCTTACTAAATCTTTTTTATTTCCTCTTTTTTTATTTTGATATGAAGGTGTATTAATTTTCTTTGAGGTGATCTTATAATTTAGTTATTTATTTCCCCATTGTAACCAGTCTGTTTTACCTTGAAATCTACTTTTTTTAGAAGTTCTATATCTACACTATTCCCTATTCTTAAAAAAAATTGTTCTGTGGTTCCCTATTTTCAGTCGTGTAGGTTTTTTTGCTTTTAAATGCATCTGTATCTGGATTGAGTTCTGGGTGGTGGTGTCAGGCATGTTAATCTCACGTTGTTGTCTGCTCTCACTGGTTCTCGGTCCAAAGAACATCCTTTAGTATTTTTTGTAAAGTTGGTCTTATTGTTACAAATTCCTTTAATTTCTGTTTTTCTGGAAATGTCCTAATTTCACTGTCATTATTTGCTGGGATTCTTGGTTGGCAATTTTTTTCTTCCAGAATTTTGTATATGCCATTCCATTGCCTTCTCTCCTGCATGGTTTCTGCTGAGAAATCTGAGCTTAGTCTTACTGATTCTCCTTTGTAAGTAACCTTTCATTTTTCCCAAGCTGCTCTCAACAATTTCGTCTTGTCTTTGGTTTTGTAAAGTTTGATTATAGCATGTTGGTGATTTTCTTTTGGGGTCTGTCCTGTTTGGAGTTTGTTCAGTTTCTTGAATGTTTATTTTCTTGTTTTTCATGGTGTTGGGGAAGTTTTCTTCCAACAATTCTTCAACAGTGTTCTCTGTGCTTTTTGTTGTATCTTCCTGTTCTGGAATTTCAGTCACCTTTAAGTTATTCCTCATCATGGTGTCCCATACAACTCTTAGGCTTCCTTTGGATTTTTGCATTCTTTTTTAAAGTTGTTTTTCTAGCATACTAGTATTGAGAGACTAGATTTACCATCTCTAAGCTCGCTAATCGAGACTTCTAGGTCTTTGTATTAATCTTCTGTATTTCTAATTGCAGGTTTTTGTTGTTCCAGAATTTGTATTTATTTTGTCTGTTTGTTCTTGTGGTGTTTTCCTGAATTCTTCTCAAGTTTTTCCTGTGTTCTCCTTGCTTTCTTCAATCTTTCTGTCGATCCTGTGAAGGTGCCTAAACATCATTCTTTGGAATTCATTTTCAGTTAGTTCCATTACCGTCTCTTCCGTAGAAACATCATCCTGCTCTAAAGCTGCATCAGTTATTTGTGCCATTCTCTTATTTTTTACCCCAAAGTGATATTTTATTTTTTTCCATTGAAAGTTTACACCACAAATTAAGTTCATATCTTACAGTTTCTACACAAATTATTCAGTGATTGGAGTTCTGGTGTGGCACTGTGGGTTAATGCGCCAGACTGCAAAGTCATTTGAATCAAAAGGTTGGCGGTTCAAGCTCACCATTTGTCCCTTGGAAACCAGAGTCGCTATGATAGCACTTAATAACAACAGAATCGACTCGATAGCACTTAATAACAACAACAACATTAGTTATTTGATGTCCTGGTGTGGCGAGTACTACAGAATAATGCACTGGACCATAAGGTTGGTGTGAATCGCAAGGTTGATAGTTCAAACTCACTAGCCACTCCTTGGAAATCCTTTACAGAGTCGCTATGAGTCGGAACCAACAGGACAGTACTTAATAACAACATTAGTTATTTTTTCAGAATTGGGTCAACATTTTTGTATATGTGTGCCAGTCTTCTGTTTCTTTGTGTGAGCTAACATTGTCTGTTGTCTCTGTATTTCATTGATGATTGAATGGTGATGTGTTTTAGGCTCTCACCAGCTGTCTCTTGTGGTTGTCGTTAGAGAATGGAAGCCTGCATTCTCTGTTGGTTTCTGTCTATCCTTGATCAGGTGGTCTAGGAGCTGGGATTGGCTCCTGGCCTGTGGGTGGAGCTGCAGGGTGTGTAGATGTAGGTGACTAAGTGGGACAGTTGCTGTCTCCTGTCCGGTGGGAAAGAGATTCTCCGCAACCCCCCCCCCCCCAAAACACACACACATGCACATACCAGGAAACAAAACAAAATAAATAAGCAACCAACAATAGCAAGAGAAAATAATAAAGAAGAAAAAAAAGGAGCAAAGACAGGCAGCAACCTGCAAAAAAAAATAAATATAATAACTAAAAAGAGAAAAGAGGGATAGGAAAATTGAACTATAGAAGAGAAAAATAAGAGAGAAAATAAAAAGAAGAAAAAAAGAAAACATTTAGAAAAACCAGGGAGAGGGAAGATGAAAGAGCAAGAGTAGAGAATAGTAAAGATCAAAATGGAAAAAGAAAAGGAGAAATGAGAAACAGAAGAAAAGAAGGAAAGATAAAAGGGTAGATAGAATGGGTAAAATTCAAGGGCTAAAAAGAGAAGAAGTAGAAAAAAGGGTAAACAAAAACAATGAAACAACCAAAGCTAACAACAACAACAACAAAACCCCCCAGAGTAACTGTTAGACCCTGAGAGGAAAACACTCTGGGGTGGAGGGTCTCACAAGGTGGGCGTGGTAGGGGTGTGAGGCAGAGCGCCTGACCCTAGATGGACTCCCTCTCCCTCCACATGTCACCTGTATTTAGGGCACTCAGTCTGGAAGTAGTTCATGGAGGCCTTAACGGGGAACTGTTAGCATCACAGGGCAGCTGGGGGCAGGGGGACTCTGGGGTTCTGTAGGTCTGGATCTGAGCCTGCCTGAATCTAGATATCAAAGTGGTGCCGCTGGCCCCCTCACACTGTGTGGCTCTGAACTCCCAGACAGCAGAGTCTTCGCTTGAGGTAGAGGAGGGTGGGAGCTGACCACACTTCTGGTCTTCAGGGGAGCATGGGAAAAAAGGAAGAATTCCACTTCCTATTGCCAAAGCTGCTCCCAAAAGTTCACAGTGATCACACCGTGTCTGTATGGTAATTCACTGGTCAGTCTCCCTCTCGCTGTCTGCTCAGCTTCCCCTCCCAGCGAGCACTCAGTCCACTTCTCTGACCTTCCCCCGAAGTTCAGGACTCTAGGATTTTCATCTGTGTCTGTTTCTGTTGGTCTCTCTTACCTTTGATGAGGTTTATGTGAATGTCACCTTTTATGTTGTTTAAAAAGAAATGTGCAGTGGATAAGTAGCTGGTCTTACAGAATTCTGTCGTGTGATCTCCCACACCATTTCTATCACCCAGGGCACGTTTTCATTCCAATCATCAGTAATTATCAGGCATCTTGATTGCATGTTTGATCCAATTCAGACTGAAGATGTTGATAGAACTTTTCAATTTCATCATCACTGGCTTTAGTAGTTGGCGTGTAAATCTGAGTTGTTGTTGTTAAAAGTGCCGTCGAGTCGGTTCCGACCCATAGCGACCCTGTACAGGGTTTCCGAGGGTATAAATCTTTATGGGAGTAGAAAGCCTCATCTTTCTCCCACGGAGCGGCTGGTAGTTTCAAACCGCTGACCTTAAGGTTCGCAGCCCGATTCGTAACCGCTGCGCTAACAGGGCTTCCTTGTAGGTGTGTGGATATTATTCTATAACTGACAGAATTATACTTACAGACAGTTATTACAATGCTCCTTTTGATGATGAATGCGACCCCATTTTGTTGTTCTAGGCATAGTAAACCATATGGTTGCCAGACTTAAAATACCTAATACCTGTTCAGTTCATATCAGTTCATTCATGCCAAAGATATCAATCTTTATGCATTCCATTTCATTTTTTCTACTTCTGATTTTCTTAGATGTTTTTCTTAGTACTTCCCACACTCTCATTATTAATGGATGTTTTCAGATGTGTCTCCTCATTATGACTTGTGCTCCAGCAGCAGCTGAAGGCCCTGAAAGCTTTGCTCCGTTCCGGTCATCATGGTTAGCTACACTTTGAGGAGGCAGCTCTTCCCTAGTCGTATTTTGAATGCCTCCCAACCTGAGGGGCTAATTTTCCAGCATTGTATTTGCCAGTTTTGCTTTGCTATTCATAAGGTTTTCGGTAGCTAAACATTCAGAAGCAGTCTGCTCTCTCCTTCCTACTCTGTCTTGGTCTGGAAGCCTCACTGAAACCTGTCCACCAAGGTGAACCTGCTCGTTTTTTAAAATGGTGGCATAGCTTCCAGCATCCCAGGAGCACTCAAACCACCACAAATGGTCAGACGGGGGCGGGCAGGGTTCAACGAATGGTCAGACGGGGCGGGGAGGGTCCAACGAATGGACACATAGGAGGCGGGGAGGGTCCAACGAATGGTCAGACGGGCCGGGCAGGGTCCAACGAATGGACAGACAGGAGGTGGGGAAGGTCCACAGGAGGGGCGATCACAGTTAATCCGGTTGAGGGAGGACAATATTGGGGTCACTTTGTAGCCCAGCTCTAAGTGGTGGTGGTGGAGATGGTTGGCTTCTTTTTCACCCTCAGCTTACTGCACTTTAGGTGGATTTGTTACTGACAATTGCTGATTTCGGGCCCCCAGATGGAAAAGAAGAGTTGGTACAAAATGATGTCAGGTAATTTGCCTTGTATTTCCTTATTATTTTCAAAATATATTTTAGTGTCTTTCTTGATTTTGTTTCTCAGTGTAAAGATGCAACTGAAAAAAATCCATAGCTTTGTTGTTAAAGTACCATCAAGTTGGTTCTGACTCATAGCAACCTGGCTAGTGTTTCGAGGAACAGCTGACCTTGTAGTTAGCAGTTCAGTTTTTATCCTACACCTCTTTACCAGGAGTCCAAAAAAAACCTTTAGAGAGGGAAAGCTTGACGATGTCTCCATTTTAGTGATATGACAGCTTGTTCAGGCTGGATAAGAAAATGCACCGGACACCGTTCTGTTTGGCAGGACAGCCTTTCCTCAGCCAGACCCGCTGGCCAACTTCTGTTTGTCTGATCGCTGTGGGTCAATGCACCAGACTGCAAAGTCAGTTTGATCTGCAAGGTCGGCGGTTCAAGCTCACTAGCCACTCCTTGAGAACCCTATACAGCCTCGCTATGGGTCGGAACCAACACGAGGCCACTTAACAACAACAACAACGTTGACAAAGATCTTGTAGGCTGTGATAATGCCTGCAGGACACACCAGTCCACCGTAAGCCTCAGCCTGAAAACACTCGGCTCTAGTTTCTTGGGTCACCAAGCTAGCTTTCCCACTGAAGTGGTGGAGGGACCCCACTCTACAACCAGGTCATTCGGCTTTCCCAGCTCCGCGGGCTGTGAAGTCCAGCGCTCTGCCTCGTGCTCTGGCGTCTGGTTCTGCTGCCGCTCCTCTGGTATCACACTTTCTGTTCCTGGGTTGAGGAGCTTCGATGTGCAGGGATCTTGGGTCGTCTCCTGGCTCTTCGTATTTGATGGTAGTGAGGTTTCTTTCCTGCTTCTGAGATGGCTTGTTTTAGACCCATGCTAGAGTTCAGTTTTATAATTGCAGTGAACTCTGCTGACATCCACACTGAGCCATGTCATCCCGTCAGGACCTTCTCTTACCCAGAGCCGGCAGGACAGAAACGCTGTTAGGTGGGAGTTATAGGCTGTGGCTAGGAAGACATGACTGTACCACAGCTCCCAGCAGCCGTGAACCCAGCAGTGTGGCTTCCTGATGTTGCTGAGTCAGAACTCACTTCATGGCCCCTAACAACAACCACCACCCTAGTTTACTGAACCTTCCTGTAGGGTGCTGTGTGGGTTAGAGTAAGGGTCTCACATTGTAAGCAGCTTCGTGGTAAACATCACACTGAAGATCCCAGACCCACGTAGGCGCTCTGAGAATCTGGGGTGCAGGTGGGTGTGCCTTAGACCACCTGGACTCAGTGGTCAGCCTGTCTAGCCCCCGAGTAACTAACTCCTGGCTGCGGTGCTGCAGGTGCCGGGCCTGGGCGGAAACGGTATCGTCCTAGCCACCCACACTTAGGCTCTGAGAATGTCAATGGAGCTGCCACTGTGGAAACAGCCCACTGTTCCTCAAAAAGCTAGGCCGAGTTTCCATGTGACCCAGAAGGTCATCCTAGGTGCCTTCCCAATAGAACTGAAAACCACGTCCACACAAATGTTCACAGCAGCACAGTTCATCATAGCCAAGCAGTCTCCTCATTGCTGTCCTTCACAGGAACCTGAATAAACTTGTCTGGGGACATGGCTGTAGATCATCTGGGTCTCCGTGTGGTGTGTGAAGGCTCTTTTCTCTCCTCACAGGGAGGCCCTGGTCCAGACACCGCTGTCTGCTGTCACAGAGCCAGCTGCTCACCCACGTCTTTGTGAGATTGATCACGAGGCACTCAACAAGCAAATCATGGAGTACAAAAGGAGGAGGGAGAAGGAGCTTCCAAGTGTGAGCCTGGGGCGGCCGGAACAAGCCCAAGAGCAGCTGGCTGAGCTGGCAAGGCAGATGAGGAGGAGGAGGAAGAAAGGAAAGCTCCTCATCCACGACATCTCTCCCCCAAACTTTCTGTTGGGTAGAGAGGGTGTGGATGCTCTGGAGGATGCAGATGGCATGTGGTTGGAGGAGGACACCCCAGCATGTGGAGGACTGGAGGTGAAGACGGGCATCCCCAAGCAGGGTTAGGGGAGTGAGTTTGAGGTTGGCGCTGCGTTTATGGCATGTGATTTCAGCTTCCACGACAAATAAAGATGGAAAGTGTTGTAGTATCTGTCCAAGGAGGTGCGGGCCAAGCAAGACACTTTGTAAACGCCCATTTGCTCCTTCAGACACTGTTGCTTTTCTGTGTTTATAAACCGTTTTCCTAGAACCAAAGATTTACAGTTGCAGCTATTTCTTCAACATGCAGAACAAAAGTTATTCTAGAAACAACTGTCTGATTACAAAGATTCTCTCAAACATGAAAATCTGATAAAGGATACTTGTCTGGAGCTCTGCAGAAGAGGGCTTGGAGCCAAGCTGCCGCCGGGTCATCTGTCCCCGAAAGACCCACCCCAGACAGGCCGTCTGTGAGGAGCAAGGCTGTGTCTTAGGATCAGACCCCTTTCATGTCTGACCAAGAACCAGGACCCCTCTCCGTAAGATGATGTGACCCAGGAGCAGCCGCCCACTGGGTTCTGATCCTGAGGAGCAGACCCCTCCCCCCAGGTCATCTGTCTGAGAAAAAGACACCCTTCCCTCTTATGGGCTGTCTTGTCTGTCCGAGGACGGACCAAGTAGCTGAGTCCCTGTCCCCCTCTGTGCAGTCGAGTATGTCAGCATGCGTTGGGAGCACAGGCCGGTGGAAGCTCTTGGTGGAAGCTCTTCCTAAATCCACACAGCCGACAGGCTCGTGGCACTAACAACAACAAGGCACGCTGAGTCCACAGATTGTGACTTATCTGACTTAACTGTAACTGCCCCTCCCCCTATTGTTTTGAGACAAGCCCAGGTGTTGTATCATTTAGCCTGTGAGTATTTCAGTATGCATCTGTTATCTCTAAGGGGCTCTGGTAGCGTTGTTGTTGTCAGGTGCCATCGAGTCAGAACCGACTCATAGCGACCCCATGCACAGCTGAATGAAACAATGTCCGATTCTGGGCCACCCTCACTACCGCTGCCACACTTGAGTCCATCAATGATGCCGCCTGGCCAATCCATCTCGTTAGGGGTCTTCCTCTTTTTCTCTGACCCTCCATCTTACCCAGCATGACATCCTTCTCCAGCGAACTGTTCCTTCCAGACAATATGTCCAAAGTACGAGAGACGAAGCTTAGCCGTCCTGGCCTCCAAGGAGCACTGTGGCTACACTTCTTCCAAAACAGATCTATTGGTTCTTTTGGCAGTCCATGGCACTTTCAATATTCTCCTCCAACACCATAACTCAAAGGCATCAATTCTTCTACGATCTTCCTTATTCACTGTCCAGCTTTCGCATCCATATGAGGTTACTGAAAATACCATGGCCCAGGTCAGGCGCACCTTAGTCCTCAAGCTAACATCTCTGCTTTTCAACACTAAAAAGTTCCTGTGCAGCAGATTTGCCCAATGCAATACATCATCTGATCTCTTGACTGCTACTTCCACGAGTGTTGATAGTTGATCCAAGAAGAATGAAGTCCTTGACAACTTCAATCTTTTCTCCATTGATAAGAATGTTGTTTATTGGTCCAGTGGTGAGGATTTTTGTTTTCTTGACATTGAGATGCAATCCATACCGAAGGCTGTGCTCTTTGATCTTCATGAGTAAATGTTTCAAGTCCTCTTCACTTTCAGCAAGCAAGGTTGTATCATCTGCATATCGCAAGTTGTTAATGAGTCTTCCTCCAATCCTGATGCCACGTTTTTCTTCATAGAACCCAGCTTCTCATATTATTTGCTCAGCATACAGGTTGAATAAGTATGGTGAAAGAATACAACCCTGTCTCACACCTTTCCCAATTTTAAAACATTCAGTGTTCCCATGCTCTGTTAGAACAATTGCTTCTTGGTCTAGGGACAGATTTCTCAGAAGTACAATTATAGCACAGTGGTTAACAAATCAGCCTGCGAACCTTAAGGTCAGCAGTTGGAAACTACCAGCTGTTCCGCAGGAGAAAGAAGAGGCTTTCTGCTCCCATAAAGATTTACAGCCTCGGAAACCCTATACAGGGTTGCTATGAATAGGAAGCGACTCCACGGCACACCACCACCACCACCACCACCACCACCGTGCTGTCTCTAGAAGGCAGACACAGTGTTTTTAATTGTGATTTGGGTGGAAGTTTACAGGACAAATGAGTTTTGCATTCAACAATTCATTCACATTTTGCTTCGTGACACTGATTGAGATTCCCTCAATGTAATAGCATGCTTCCCACTTTCTCCATGGGTTCCCCATTTCCATCATCTTTCTTTCCCACATCTCCAGCCTTCTGGGCTTTGTTTTGAGCAAACGCTGTCCATTTGTTCTCCTGTGGCTGATGTACTGAGCTGTTATTTATTCCCTAGTGTAATTCACATTATAGGATGATTGATTGTTAGACCACTCTCCTGTCAGTGTGTCATACTGTGGTGGCTTCACCTGTCAGTGTGTCGTATTGTGGTGGCTTCACCTGTCAGTGTGTCATACTGTTGTGGCTTCACCTGTCAGTGTGTCGTACTGTGATGCTGGGAGTTCTGCTATCGGTATTTTAAATACCAGCAGGTCAACCATGGTGGACAGGTTTCAGCTGAACTTCCAGACAGACACAGTAGGAAGGAGGAGAGGCAGACTACATCTGAATGTTTAACCACAGAAAACTGTATGAATAACAGCAGTACACTTTTAGATAGCACCAGAATACGGAATATTAAAACATGAATAACACCAGGATATTGTCAGATACAGTGCCGGAAGATAAACCTCTCATGTTTTAAGGCACTCAAAATATAACTGGGGAAGAGCTGCCTCTTCAAAGTAGAGTTGACCATCATGACACGAATGGAGTAAAGCTTTTGGGACCTTCATCTGCTGATGGGGCGCAACTCAAAATGAGAAAGCTATAAACAGCCATTAATAATCAGAACATGGGATGTACGAAGTAGGAACATAGGAAAATCGGAAGTTGTCAGAAATGAAATAGAATGCATAAAGATTGATATCCTAGGCAATAAATGAAATGGAAAGGCAAATCACAAGGTTTACTCTGCTGGGAATGACAAATTGAAGAGGAATGGTGTCACATTCATCACCGAGAAGAACATTTCAAGGTAATATCTTCATTTTTTAGGAGTTGGAGCCTCTGTTGGCGTCAGGACTACTTGAGAGGGATGAAGCAGGAGGAGTGGGTGGCACCAACACTGGGCTGCCCAGGTAGTGGCCGATTATCTTGGGCTTGATCTCCACGTGGTTAAAGGTCTTGCTGTTGTACACGCCCGCCATCTTGGGCAGAATGATCATGTACAGATGGGTCTTGGGTCTTAACTACTCAGGCGTCTTTGGGCATCTCATCCTTCTTGGCCTTGCAAAACCTCTTCAGCAGTGAACCCACACAGGCTGCAGTTCAGCCGCCACCACAGTCGTGCACAGTACAGAGCCTGTCCAGCAGCTGGTCGAGGTCCACACCACAGTACGTAAACTTAGCAAAGGTCTGCCATCTTGTTGGTTCTTCTCAAGATCTATCTTCAAGGACAGTGCTGTCTGTGATAGTATAATATCCATATACCTACAAGAAAGACCTGATACGGTGCTGTACTGTCAGCACTGGACTGGGGACCTCAAGGTCGGCAGTTCAAACCCACCATCACCAGCTACTCCTAGGAAACCCTATGTAAGGTTGCTATGAGACAGAACCATCTTGACAACACTCAACAAAAACAACAAGGAATACCAGTTAATACTTTCATTTAAATTTAGGGAGCAACCAGTAAAGCCAGTGATGAAACTGAAGAATTCTAACAACTTCTTCAGTCTGAAATTGATAAAACATGTAATCAGGATGTATTGATAATTAATGGTAATTGGAAAGCAAAGTTTGGAAACAAAGAGGAAGGACCAGTAGTTGGAAAATATGGCCTTGGTGATAGAAATGATGCTGGAGATCATATGATGCAATTTTGCAAGACCAATGACTTCTTGCAAATACCTGTTTTAAATGACATAAAAGACATACACATGGACTACCCAGATGGAATACACAGGAATCAAATTGATTACATCTTTGGGAAGAGATGGTGGAAAAGCTCCATATCATCAGCCCAAACAAGACCAAGAAGAGACCATCAATTGCTTACGTGCAAATTCAGACTGAAGCTGAGGAAAATTAAACCAAGTCTATGAGAGCCAAAAATACGACCTTATAAATATCCTACATGAATTTAGAAATCTGAAGAACATATTTGATACATTAGACACTAATGTTCGACGACCAGAAATGTTGTGGGATGGCAAGAACATCATACAGGAAGAAACCAAAAGTCATTAAGACAAAAAAGAAGGAAAAGACCAAAATGGATGCCAGCGAGACTCTGAAACTTGTTCTCCAGCGTAGAGATGCTAAAGCAAATGGAAGAAATGAAATCAAAGGAGAAGACTGGAGAAGATACAATCAAGTATTGTAATGAAATGTGCAAAGACCTGAAGTTCGAAAACCAAAAGGGAAGAACACATTCAGCATTTCTCAAGCTGAAAGAACTAAACAAAAAATTAAAGCCTCTTGCTCTGGACTGCAAAGTCGGTTGGAACCACGAGGTCAGTGGGTCACACTCACTAGCCACTCCTTGGAAACCCTTTGTGGGGTCACTATGAGTCGGAACCAACTCAACAGCACTTTTTAACAACAACAATGGGCAAAATATTGAGTGATCCAAAAACCATTAAAAGTCTTCACCACCTTAGGCTTCTCCATGGGCGGTGCCTCCTTGGTCTTGAGAAGAAATAGAGTCACTGTACCAAAAAGAAATGGTCAATGGTCAACAATTTCAAGAGGTAGCATATGATCAAGAGCCAATGGTACTGAAGGAAGAAGTCCAAGGTCCACTGAGGCATTGGCAAAGAACAAGGCTTTGGGAATTACTGGAATACAAATTGAAATCTTTCAACAAACTGATGCAGCATTGGAAGCAGGAAGCACTTAGTCATCTATGCCAAGAAATTTGGAAGACAGCATACTGACCAATTGATTGGA